AAAAAAAAAAAAAAAAAAGAAGAAGCTTTGAGAGCCTTCCCTGGAAAAGGAAGCAACTGTGACAGAATTTTATTTTCGCATTCATGTTTTTCTTCATTTTGAATAAACACCACATCTAAAAGCTACTATATTAGATATATTCCTTTACCATATGTAAATATTCAAAATTCATTCACGTAACACTGTAGCATGTGATTTAATAGAATCGCAAAATATCACATAAAAATAAATGAAAAGCTTTTACACACCCACTGAAGGGATGTCACACGGGTAGGTCCATGTGTATGATCAGTGCCCCTCAAAATCTCTTCCAAGATTTCCCCCTCCTTACTGCCCTGATCAGACCTCAGAACAACCCCAGGCGGGGCACTCGGAAGCAGCCTTTCCACACCTTTCAGCTGGTGGCTCAGGGCAGGAGGGGCCGATGCGCAGGCTGGTCACAGCACAGAGCGACCTGGGCTGGGAAAATCACCTCTAGATAGAATAAGCCAGAAGGGATGGCCGCCTAGCTTGGTTTCCACATGTGCACCCTTAAAGGTCCAGGATCACGCACTGTTTTCGAAGTTGGGATTCTTGGGATACAGGTCACCGGGTGAAAAGTTCAGAATCTCATCCAACGAAGGGCCTTCCTCCTCTGGGGCAATTTCAGACTCAAACATCTGCTGCAGCAAGGCGTCCACGGTCCTGTACTCTAGGAGGAGGGAGAAAGGCACACGGAACTGGCACATGTTGGGGCCAGAAGGGGAAAACTCGGCCCGGGCAGAGCTGGGCTTTCCGGAAGGATGGCCCCTGAGTCGAAGACGACGCTCTAAGCATGGCTAGCCAAACGCTCTTTGGAAGAAAGGATAAAAAAGTCAGGAAAGAACCACTCATCTGTGCTGGTGCGGACCCCACTGCGCTCCTCAGCCACCCAGAGCTCTAGAGCCCGAGGAGAAGGTGCTCCCTGGAGGATGGGGGAGGGTGACGCCTAGTAAGGGCGCCCTGCTCACACCACGGCTCCCGCAGGCCATGCTGAGCTGCTCACTCGGAGGTCGCGCCTCGGCCAGAGACCAAACTGACACGCAGGTTGCTGTGGGTTATTCAGCCAACCGCTAATTCGCTGAGAATAAAATGGCTAAAGAAATAGGTGTTGAGGGCCCCCATGTCCCGCGCACATCGTGAGGCCCTGGGGATACAGCGGAGGGCAAGAAGACATGGCCCTGCACCCGACGGGAAGCTTTGAGTCTACAAGGAAGACAGACGGTGACCAAACAGTCACTCAAAGATCAATGGCATGCAGCCAGCATGGCGAGTCACAGAGGGAAGGAAGAAAGGCTGAGAAAGAGAAGGAGAGACCAGGCATACATACGGGCTGCAGCGGCCACGACAAGGGACCTTGTCTTTTTGGTTTTGTTTTAATTTTTTTAATGTTTATTCTTGAGAGAGAGAAAGGGCAAGCAGGGGAGGGGCAGAGAGAGAGGGAGACACAGAATCTGAAGCAGGCTCCAGGCTCTGAGCTGTCAGCACAGAGCCCGTCGCGGGGCTCGAACCCATGAACCGTGAGATCATGACCTGAGCCAAAGTTGGACGCCCAGCAGAATGAGCCACCCAGGCGCCCCTTGCCCTTGTCTTTATCCTTAAGACACCGAAGGTCAGATTTGCATTCGGAAAACATCCTTCTGGCTGCAGTGAGGAGCATGGATCGGAGGAAGTTTTGCATTGGGTTAAAACTTACTTTTTTAAAACAAGTTTACTTATTTTGAGAAAGAGAGAAAGAGAGCACAAGCAGGGGACGGGCAGAGAGAGAGGATCTGCGATAGCAGTGTGGAGCCCGACGTGGAGCTCGAACTCACAAACTGTGAGATCATGACCTGAGCCAAAATCAAGAGTCAGATGCTTAACCAACTGAGCCTCCTAGGCACCCTTAAAACTTACTTTTGGATGCAATTCTGAAGTACAAGCCTTTCAGGTCCTTCCTTTTGTTGTCTCCATCGTCCCCACTAAAGCCACTGTCCTTAGCATCCACGTTATCAACGAGCTTCCTGTCCTGCATTTCTTCTCTTCAAGGAGGAAGAGACATGAACAGGGTCAGGTCCCTCAGCTGAGTCCCGCCTGTGTCCTCCCAGCCGAGGCCCTGTGTTACTGTCCAGCCACATCCAGGGCTCCGGACAGTGAAGGTCCCGGAGAACTGACCCACAGGACCAGGCTGGGTGTCACGAGACACTTAGAGATTAAACGTGGCCAGTCTGCTTCTAAAGGTCTGTGAGCTACACGAAGGGGAACACAATACTCACTCTTGGATTCCCACTCCGAGCTCTTGAATCTTCTTCTCGATAGCAGTTTCTACTTCACTTTTCTCTAAGGAATATGCCACAAAAAATGCCTCCAAGATGAATGCTATGAAAATACTGGGAAAGAGGAAGAGGTAGAGGGCGTTAGCCGAGGTCCAGGTGACAGGGAAGCCTGGACCCAAAGAGTGTGTGAGCCTAAATAAAAAGGCAGCCTATTGTTGCAAAGAAAATACAACACAGAAGGGAGGAATGACAAACAGTATCTCTCGAGGATTGGGCACAACTTTCATTCACTTGGAAAACCATTCTTCTTTTATAACCTCTTTAAACAGTGAATATTAAAACAGAAAATGGGTTTGTTTCTAGGGGAAGCTTAGGCCAAGTATTTGTTGGTAGACAATTCTCTATGAATATCTCAAGTTTCTGCACAGTCTGGGCTGTCTGAGCAAAGGCACGGAGAGCCGACTCAGGAATGCTTGTCCCCCGAGACATTCCAGGATGTAAAGCTCAACAACGCCTCCCCTACAGAGAGAGCCCAGGGCAGCAAAGACTCACCTTGCCCTCCCTGGGGGCCTGCTTCCACTCCAGGTGAAACTAAAGTCCCTTTCTCCCTCTCCAGAGGGGGGGATGGGCAGGTCCCCAGCCGCCCTGTCTAAGATCAGTTTCCTCATTCTGGAGCTCCTTCCTGCATTCCCACCCCAGGCGGTGCTCACCACGCTGCTCATTGTGGACGAAGGTTCGGGGAACGGACACGGGATATTGCTCTGCTGCTGCTTTCACCATGAGTAATACAGCGTCTTTGTCTCTGACCCAAGGTGCCGTACCTTCTACCTGTGTGTACGCGTGGTATATACGCGCGGATTGACCTGCTGGCGTGCAGGCAGGGAGGAATCTCAGACCCTTCACCTTTTCTGCCTTAACAGTGATGATGATGGAGCCCAGGGCGCCCACGGCGCCCACATACTTTTGAGAGGAGAGGACCAGGAACGTCCCTACAGCCTTCCACGCTGTTGGCCCTGACGGGTCCCAGCGCTCCAGCAACCTCTGTAAGAGCCACCCAGGGAGGCGTTTCTCTCTTGTTCCCACTACGTGTTCCATTCAGGCTGTGTAAGGACAAGCAGGCCTGATCGGAGCCACCCACGGGGTTTCTTCCCCTCCCCTCCTCGGCCAGGATTCTTGAGTCGTTCCTGAGCCAAAGTCAGTAAAGTGGTGGCTGGCCAAAGCAGGCCTGATGTGACAAGGACGGTGTGGTGCCGGGAGGTCACCCCAGGGGCTGCAGGCGCACCGCCGTGCGAGGGGTATGGCAGTCGGGAAACCTCTCTGGAAGAGCATTCCCGTGATCAAGGGGACTCAGCTCCGGGTCCCACGAGGAACCAAGGAGCTAGACCCAGAGGTTGTGACGCATGAACAGACGCTGGAACAGAAACCCTGTGGAGTGGTGGTGGGGTGTCACAGCAGCTGTCAAACAGTAGCTGAGCCGAGTTCCCTCCTGGAAGAGCAGCCAGGACCAGAACTGGAACCAACGAAGGGACCGTATCGGGGGACACAGTTCCATTGTACCCGCGCAAGGACAGGGAGGGACCGTAGCTGTACAAGGGAACAGACTCTGAGGCTCGAAGGAGCCAGCAGAAGGACGGATTGGAGCCGAGGGTGATCGGCATTCACAGGGATGCTCTAAAGGGATTCGGTCTGGGCGGGGGAGGGGAGGGGGACCGGCCAGGACCCCAGAGTCCTTCTGACCCCAACAACCTCTGAGACTATGAGATGCGTGTTATGCACAGAGGTGCACCGCACTGGCAGGCAACGAGGGCACAAATGTGGACACAAGTAAGACTCCTCCCTTCCAGTGCCGACCCACAACGTACAGCAGGTGGACGGAACACGGGAGAAGGGAGGTAAAGCGGTTACACGTGCTCAGGGAGGAGATGTGGAATCGGCCAGCGTGGCGGGAGCAGACTCACTTAACGATGAGAATGACGACCACGATGTGGAAGCCGATGAAGTACAGCTTTGCCGCCTGGTGAGTCACGAGGGCAAAGCCGCCTGCGAGAAGTAGGAGGCTAAGGACGTCAACCTGCAGGGAACTCGGCAGGT